TTGATTGACTTCCTTCAGTAAAGTTTCTTCACTTTTCTTAATATAGTCATTCAAGCCATGTTTTTCTTCCTCCAAAGTTTGTTTCACAGATGATGATGATGATGATGATTTAAATCTGTATACCTTCCAACAACTCTAGAGGATGATAGTCAATATTTCATGTTTGGCTAGAACTATGTAATATAGGAGAAAAAAGTAGAACTTTCTTAGTGATGTTTTTAACTTGCTTGCTTGTTTTAAGATAGATTTTCCAATTTAGTGCTCTACAACAGTTGGGTGCTAAAACTCAGAATTTTCTAGCCAATAGGGCTCTGTAGCAGATTTAGTGAACAGTTTCTGCCAACAAGTGCATAAAATATCTTGAAAAGAAAAAGTGAAAGGTGAAGTTTTGAGGTGTATTTCTTATTGCATATGGTGAGGATGAATAGTGCTCTTTTCTTGCAGAAGCAGTGGAGTTTATGCTGAGAGATTTAATCCATCTGAAAAGCAGTGTTTGCAAATATGCAGCAGACTCTTAATTTTATGCTTATTACATTATAAATTGCATTTTAAAATTTTATTTGATTTTTTCTCTAGAATATGGCTGTTATGGTACCCATGAGGATTTATAGCATAGATTTTCTCTGCTGTATTATCCTTGCTGCCTCCGTCATTTCTTTAGCAGAGGATCACATGGACGGAAGTCACCAGCCCAATATGCGCCTTGATAAGAACATGGTACAAGACAAGGAGTATGTGTTCCATAACCTTTCATTTTATATTAGTCGGTTTTACCTCTTTATTCTTCTAGTACAGATAAAGTTGTGAACTGCAGAACAAGTACAGGCAACGTATTATCTATGAATTAAAGTGGAAATCTTTAGAGTTATAACTAATATTCTTGAAAAATTAGCAATTAGAATTTCAGAGGACAACTTTTCTAATGACAGAAATACAAAACTCAGGGCCCAGCCATTGACAGAACAATTTACCAAGTTCCTTTTTCTATTTATTTTGAAATCTGGTTAAATTGTTCTTTAATTTAGGGAGAAAATTAAAGGAAAACAAGATACATTTTTGAGACTCTGAACTCTATTAAAAGAGGGAAACTTTTCATGATAGAATTCATAGTCATCCTGTGAAATGGTAGGATATTGATGGTGCCTAGGGAAAGTACCTGAATCATGAAAACTATTATTAAGGAGTCAGCAGATGTATGTATATTCAACCTAGGCGATCCTTTTACCACTTTGGATCTCAGTCTGGTCCAATTATTGCTTCAGAGAATATATATTGTGATTTTAAGAGTTGGATCTGGGATAGAACTCAGTAGCAGTCCCCATTTTGCATTAACCTAACCTTCTCAACCTGGATGCCCACCAAAAGTACAGACCAACTCCCAGAGTTCTTTAACTAGTGTTGCTATTGCTGAGAATTTGAGGACTTGAAGTCTGCTTGTTTAGAATGCTTAGTCATATAAGCAAGATCTTGGTCTTGATCTTGGATAGCTCAATGAAGTTGTCAATTCAGGATGCAGCAGCTGTGAAAAAGGGGAGTCCCATGCTAGAGATTACTAGGAAAGGGACTGAAAATAAAAGGGTCAGCACTATAACTAACTTACCTAAAACTAAGGTATGTCTACATCTGGAATACTGTGTACAGTTTTGGTCTTTGCATTTGAGAAAGGACACAACAGAGCTGGAAAAAGGGAACCCAAATGATCAGAAAGCCTTGAAACCCTTATGAGAAAAGGCTAGATTTTTTAGGACTCTTTAAGCTTGAGAAAAAAGACCACTGAGGGAGTTAAGGTGTATAAAATTACGAATGGCATGGAGAAAATGGAAAGGGAAGGTTTTTTCCCCTCTTTAAAATACTAGGAGCAGAGGTTATCCAATGAAGTTGATCGGAAGGATGTTTAAAACAGAGAGAAGGGAGCCTTTCTTCACATACTGCATAATTAACCAGTGGAATTCATTATGACAAGACACAGTGATGGCCACTAACTTGGCTGGGTTGAAAAGGGGATTGGATATATTCATGGAAGACAGTTCTGCCGAGGTCTACTGATTCTTCAAGACCAACATTACCTCCAAGTTGAGGTCAGCATGCCTTCAGATGCTAGTTGCAGAGGAATAATGGGGCGAAAAGAAGCTCACTCCATTGCCTGCTTGTGAACACCCCTGAGGCTGGATTAAGATGGGCCTTGGCCTAATCCAGTAGGGCAGTTCTTATGTTCTTAGAATATATGAACCCCAAATACTGTAATTTATAAACAATGACTTATGACTGAATGTGTTGTATAATCCAGGCAATTGTGTCTGTTGAAAAAAATGGTGAAACAAACTGGACTAGCACAATATGTTAACTTATCCTATTGTGTGTATGGATATTTTGACAGCTGCTGTGTTTTTATCTTATAGCCACATTATGGAACATTTAGATGGTGTCATTGACAAACCAGAGTCTGAGATGTCACCTCAAGAACTGCAGCTTCATTATTTCAAAATGCATGATTATGATGGTAACAACTTGCTTGATGGTCTTGAGCTTGCCACTGCAATATCACATGTACACAAAGAGGTACATATTAGTTTGTCTGAACAGGGAATTTAATGGGCCCTTTAGCAGTCCTTGGAAGAATGATGTGTGTAATATTTGTGCATTTCATATTTCTGTAATGGTGTGTTGTTAAATGCTGCTTCAAACTAAAACTGTAATTTTGGCATGGATTTTTAGGGAAGACTTCACCCTAGAAGAATTGTCAGCCTTATAAATTACAAAACTCTGAAATAGCTTTAAGAAGCAAATGAGAAAAAAAAAATACAGCATTATTCTGAGAAAAAGGTAAAAATTAAATAGAGAACTGTACCTTCTGAGTTTCGATTTGCCAGACCCACTTAAATCTTTTACTCTTTAGCAATATAGTTCTCAAGAAGAAAGTACTAAAGACAGGATCCAAGGCAACTCCTTTGCTGAAACTCATCCATTGTTTTTCCTGTGTAGGATGGTGGTGGACACATTCAGACAATGAAAGAAGAGGAGCTAATTAACTTGATAGATGGCGTTTTACAAGATGATGATAAGAATAATGATGGGTATATCGACTATGCTGAATTTGCTAAGTCACTGGAATAAGGACAATCTTCAGTTTTTATGTGGCCCAGTTCAATGTGATTCTTTATTATATGTTAGTATGTATGTTCTGCCTTTGAGCTACGAAGTTAATAGTAAGCTGGTACATGTGGCCATTGGAATGGCTATACTTGTATTTGTTACATGTTGGAAAGTAAAAATAAGTTTGTAATAGAAACTGGTCTGCTGTTATATCCTTAACAAACCATGTTGAACAATATAATGCATTGCCCCCGTCAGCAGATTATTTGCCAGTCAGCTTCAAAGAATTGTTTCAAAATGCTCCAAAGAATTTTTGTAGAAGCCCAGTGAAAGTGTAGTGTAAAGACAGCAGCACTGCACAGTTGAAATGTTGTGATTATAAGGCAAAACCTATAGTATAATCAATATTTATACTTGTATTTTTTTTTATTCACTCTCCTTGCAAAATTAAGTAGATCCCAAACCAGAAAAAGGTAACATTCTTCCAAGATCTGTTGAAGATAATAAAAAAAAGTGAAGTACCAAGTGAAATATTCATTAAAATCATTGTGAACATAAATGTCTGTCTCAGTTGTCTTCCCTTGTATCAGTACTTCTCTGCATTTTAATCTGCCCATTTGGGTGTACTTGTTAACACCATTAATAGCAGTATTTCTAAAAATGTAGATTAAATGCCAGTGTTCACTTGTATCCTTCACCAAAACTGTTCCTATACTAGCTAACTACATTTTTGTAACTATGGAAAAATGCTGCCTTGTTACGGTTTCTACTAGTGTACCTTAACATGAATTCTTAGTGTTAGGCAGGAACAAATTGTTATTTTTTTTCTTTAAAATTAACTCTTTGAAGAGAGTGGTTAAATACTTGAATAGTCTACTTATTTAATAAGATTCTGGAGTTCTCAGCAACTTTTCATCCTATACCATTCAGCAGTATTCTGCAGATTTAAAATAAGTTACTGTCTATATGTCTGGCTTACTTTATACATTAAATTGGTTAAATAAATGTATGCATTCCAAGCTATTGTATTCACAAGCTGAAAACTCAAGGCATTCTCTAAATTGTATAGAGATCTATTTTCTGTATAGAAATATTCTTATATTCTGTAATAATTGCTTTTTTGTTAATTATGTAATAAAATCTATTATACGGTTGCAACATCTAAATTCCATGGTGGGAAAGACTTTTATCTTTTTATTTATGCTAAAAAAATTGACACAAAACATAAGATGCTTGGGGTTTAGGAAAACACAGACTTCATGTGGTTTATTTTATCTTGGTTTAATGAGTTTTGCAAGTCCAACAAAAGCTGGCTTGTTCTGCAGTTCTGGTTTATTGCTTAGCATGTTTGAACTCTTCCAGTTATTTCTGATTCAACAAGCTGTGGTAAAGGAAACCATAACATAGCACAAGGCAGAGGTGTCTGCACTGGGGTCAAAACAGGCAAGATGGTGTACGCAGCAGCGCAATCCAAGCCTCACACCTGTGCATGTTTCACTGTCATATGCACATACAAAGAAGTGTGGCTTCAATTTCAATGCTGGGACTGCCATTTTGCCTATTTTGACCCTCACTGTGGCTGCCATTGACACATTGCTTGAACTCAGCCACACGTTTCTTTCTCTGAAAACCCATTTTCGGTTTCTGGACTTAATGTGATGATCTTTCATCATTTTTCCCCACAATATTCTGTTGATAAGATGCATTCCTGGTGTGTTTTCCTACCATTTTGCGGCAGGAAACATAGGAGAACTGTAGTATGAATCTTAAAATAGGCTTGGTGTAGTTTAAAGAAAACAAAGACACCTCCCCCAAACCTCACTCGGAAATCATGCCCCCCATTTTGTGTGATTGCCCCATCCATTGCAGTCTCAGCTCCCCCAAAATGTTTGGTGCGGTGCTTACCCACAAAAAGGATGCACAGCCATGAGTTAAGGTAAGGATGGAGAATCCTTTTTCTATATGGGGCCACCTTTTCAGAGAGGGTGTCATTTCTCTGACAGAAGAGGGTAAAACTAGCAGCTCTTTTCCTTCCTGCCAACTGGACTTTCAGATCAGGATCAAGAGTTTTCTTGCCAGAGGTCTGAGCTAATTGTTTGTAGAAGACTTTCGAAATTAGACCAAGGGCCATAGATCCCTGAAGCTTGGGAAAGCACTAGGACTATTGTAGGTGCAAATGGCTGTTTAAAAAAGCTCTAATGCAGAAAGGGAATGAAGTCACTTTGCTTTTAATCAATTATTTGGGGCTCTACTCTGATTTAGCATTTACATAAAGCCGCTGGATGAGGTTATCTGTAGGCGTGGGGTTAAGTAACATTAGTATGCTGGTGATACTCAGTTATACAGTGCATTCGGAAAGTATTCAGACCCCCTTCACTTTTTTCAATTTTGTTATGTTG